TGCTGGGATTAAAGGCATCAGGCATCGTGGCCCTTCTTACTGTCACCATTATTTCTGCCCTGCTCCCAAGCTTCCTTCACCACACCCTGTTCATCTTCCATCACCTGAAGAACAGCTCGCCCACGTCGCCTGGGTGCTCACTGAAATGCAGCGCCAAATTCAGTGGGTGCTGAGGGGGACATAGCTTCCATAACTCCACGGGTGCCCAGGTGATGAAAGTGAAGAGTCAGGACAGTGGAACTACACCTTGGAATCACCCCAGGAAGTTAGACCATGGTCCTTACCCACAAGTGGTAGCTTAATAAGGAGCCAGGCAGGAGTATGACTTTGAACCTTGGGGCTTGACAGCAGCCTGTGACCTGTGCTGACCCCCACCTCCTGGCCTCCCTGCTCTGACACATCCATCCACAGGGGGTCCCTAATTAGATGACCTTCCTATGTCAAGTCCCTGCTATGTGTTGTGGGGTCACTTGGCGGAAAGAGGTTCACACAGAGTTTGTAGTATCACCTGTGATACAAATACCACCTCCTTGTGCAGCCAGGGGACACTCCCAGGTTGATGGAGTGGAGGGCCTGGTAGCTGAGGGCCAAGCTCTGCTGGGCACAGCTAAGCTGCCACAGAAGTAGAAATACAGGACCTGGTAGGCTTGGCTTTGCAAGTGCTGTGGGGTTTGGGGGGTATCTATTGGAGTGTGGGCACTCCTCCCCAAAAAGGTTGTACCAGAAAGTGTTTACCCAGCAGGATGAGGGCTTTCCCATAGCTGAATGTATGGAGCCCCCTCCCCTAGTCTTCCTCAACTATATGTTCTAGCCCTGTGCAGTTAGGGTGGCATTGCCTACAGCAGGTGGTAGCAGCAGCTGGGTACTCCGGTGAGGGTACCCCCCTTGATGAAGGGATAGAAACGGTCAACAGGTCCAGCTTACAAACACAGGATGGTTAGCTGAGGATCAGGGGATGGCCCTGTACATCCTAACACCTGGTTTTATTTTATTTTTTATTTTTTGGTGGAGGGAGGCTTCGAGACAGGGTTTCTCTGTGGATTTGGAGGCTGTCCTGGAACTAGCTCTTGTAGACCAGGCTGGTTTTGAACTCACAGAGATCTGCCTGCCTCTGCCTCCCGAGTGCTGGGATTAAAGGCATGCACCACCACCGCCTGGTCCTAACACCTGGTTTTAAATGTCTGCTCAACTCTTCACCATCCTGAGTCCTGCACTGGCTCCAGGTTTCCCTGTTAAAGCCCCTGTCACCTTATAGCATATTATAACTTGAGTTCCTCTTTCTCACTACAATGTAACCGGTTTTGCTGACTTGGGTGGCACAGCGTCCTTTGACATCCAGATCTGCCCCAGCCTTCTGAATTCTTCTGTGTGGTCCTCTCCCCAGCTCAGGCTAGCCTCAGATTGCAGGTGACTCCATGCCTGCCCACGTCTCTTTCCAAAGCAAAGCCGGCATTTTCATACTTAAATAGCAGCATAAAGCAGCCTTTCTAAACATCACTCAGGTAAGTTGCAACTGAATGGTGTACTTTCCCTTCTGTTTCCTTGGGGGCTCTCCTCTGGGGCAGAAGGAGCAGCAGGTTCTTGGGGTGCATCTCATGCCCATCAGATGTGTACAAGGTGGGAGGCCGAAGAATTCCCAGCTGCTTCCACCAACCACCAGGGAGAAACCTCCTGTTTACCACTGGACGTCACCCAGGGCCAACAGTCTTCTCAGCTGCCCGTTTTATTTATAGCTTCCAAAGCTGCTTGGCTCCCATTTCAAATGACAATGAAATGGCACCAGTGTTAGTGGTCACTAATAGGTGTTATGTGGCTGGACCTGAGGTGTCTTTGTGCCTGGAAAAGAAAGCATGCCATTGGAAGGCCATGGGGTGGGAAGGACACAGCACAAAACTTCCACAAGTGCCAGGTTGAAGGCTGGGCAAAACTTCCTCAAGTGCCAGGTTAAAGAAGTGTGGAAGATGCAAATAGGGCCAGGCAGAAGGGGAGACACGAGGGACATGTGAGGAAGGAAGTAGGGGACAGATAAGATGGAAGGGTGAGTGTAGGGAGACACCCTAGCCCCGCCCAATAGTCCTGGGACAGGTACCAGGTGGACCCGGGACTCGCCCATAAGGGTGTGGTGAAGGAAAGCCAAGGTGACTTAAGGGAAGCTTCTTAAAGACTGCACGTGGAGACCCTAGCCCTCTTTGTCTAGCTGCGCTTGCTGGGTTCCTGTGACCTCGCTCTGGCCTGCGTTTTGCCCTAGTGCTTTCTTGAATAAAGAAATCTTACCAACAAGGACTGATTCATCCTTTAGCGCACGCTGCAACCTTATTCATCAGGTGAGAAAGGCAGGGTGACAGAGTTCTTACAGCCAGGAGCGTCAGCTGAGTGAGAGCAGTTTGCAGATAGTGGCTCCAGTGGGCTGCTGCCTTCCACTTCTGGGGGTCACCAAGTGCAAGGGAACGGGCTGTCCGTGAGTACACGCTAGAGGCTTCACTGACGACTGCTTCCCTCTGCCTCTCATGATGGCAGCTGGCCTCGTGGGTTTCCCGATTTCCCTGGCTAATCGAGATGTGCCAGGGTCATTCAGCATCAAGAAAAGAATATTTATCACTCAGAAAGTATTTCTCCTGGGTGCTAGAGCTCTTTTGTTTACCCTCTTGGAGTACAACTGAGAAAATCAACCTTGGGCTTCTAAGAAGATTGCTTTTTCAAATACTAATATGGCCTCTTCATCTGTGTATTTCTCCAACTAAATCACAGCCACTCTTACCAGACTCCTTGAGACCCTCAGCTCTGAGTTTGCCAGGCCTAGCAGATAACAAGTCAAAAGGCCCTGAAAAGTTTGAATGATGTGTTTTTTAGTAAGGTACCTTCTATGCAATATCTGGGACATTCTTATGTTAGGAAGTTGTTTGTTGTTTATCTGAAATATGACTTTGTCTAGTAATCCTGCTGAACTCCATATGCCTTCTATTTGGATTGACCTGTGGGAGTATGCAAAAAAAAAAAATGACAAGTGTGGTCAACCTATGCATTTTAAGTTTCATCCTCAAGGGGCCACAAAGATCCCATTGTTGGTCTTTGTGATTTATCTCCCACTGGGCTTTGTAGCTCTATTTTCCATTTGTCTCTTAAAGAGAAGGCCAGTGTCCTTTCTCACTCCACCCTCTTGGCCTATGTAGGAACTCATGTCAACCCTTCTTTCCCCATCCAAAATGACCTGCTTAGCTTTCTCTATCACCTGTTGAGGTCTCTAAGATCTCTTTCTGGAACCTGCTTCCTGAGTCTGGAGGGGACCATATCTCCTTTGCATCACCATTGAGTCAAGGACAGAGACTGACAAACATTCCCATAAGTATTAGAAATATTTAAAGAGACTTGAGCAAACCCGGTTTCCTGCCAGGTTTCTTCAGGACTGTCACCTCTGGCATTCAAGCTTTCTCTGAACGAACCATGAGGAAGATGTTGCCAGCCCAAAGTATCCACACCATTCTTTCAGAGAGCGCTACAAAGCAGAGCTGCCTTACCAGGCCATTGACACCCGAGTCTTCAGGAGGAAGACACTGGTCCTCCTTGCAGCCGGCTGCAGCAGACTGACTCCCTCTGGATAGAAAGATGTGGTGATGGTCGAGCATTCGGGCAATCAGATATTATTGTGACTATCAATATCGCCATCACCATCATAAATATTATCATTGCTACCATCAGTATTGCCATTATCACCATCATCACCATCATCAGTGTCATCATCATCATCATCATCATCATCATCGCCACCATCGTCATGATGTCATTTCAGCCATACTGTGTTTGCAGGTCAGATATATTCTTTCCTTTAGCTTTCAACAACTCTGCAAGTTAAAAACACTATTCTTTACTTTCCGAATGGGGAAGTGGAATCCCAGAGTGGCCTGATACCTTTGCACATGATCCCAGGGCAATGGGGAAGACCCCAAAGTAAAGACTTCCCTGGCTTGTCTCAGCCCCTTTAGGATTCGTAATCCCCACTAAAAACAGATGGGCAGGCAGGGACAGGTCATAAACAACCAAACCAGTGAGGTTTGAGTGCAGCACCCCGCCTCACAGTGTCAGCAAAGGTTCCCCCTCTTGTGTTCCTCAGGGGAGGGGATCAGTACCCTAAGATGCTTAGTTGCTCTGAGCTCCTGTGGCCTCCTGCCTACTCCCAACATAGTCAGGAGTCTCTATCCTCAGGGGCCTCCTCTCCCCTATAAATGCCTCCAAAAATACAGCCATAAACAGAGTGTAAGTCCTGCCTGATACTCTGTGACAAGAGGGAGCTCTGGCCTAACCAGTTTGGTAAACACAGATGCCACCATGTGGAGCCCAGTGAGGCATAGCAGTGCTATAAAGGGACCAGAATATCCTACAAATAAATGACCACTGAACTTTGACCCAGGTTTTCCTAAGCCCAATTACAGAATGGGGGGGGGGCGATCAGTAACATCTATTAACCCTCTGTAGAACCAGTGTCTAGATAATCCGCTCTGATAAGCAGGGATCCAATCCAGCGCTTCCTTTTCTAGCTGGAAAAGGTCTGATTCCATCTACTGGGTGCTCCAGCATATTTGCTGCGTATAAACAGAGATTTTTCCAAATGCCAGCACCTGGGCTGAGTTCTGAGACATTAGAAATGTAGTGACAGCAGCTTGTCCGATGACTCTTGCCACCTAGGTTTGACTCAGAGAGCTCCTGTAAGTTCACAATGTCAACCTGTAAACCAGCTGTGTCCCTTAATGAGATTGTTTTCCTCTTGGGACTCGGCCCAGTGGCCTCTTGAATAAGCATGGTGTCTCCTGGCGCGGAGCTGTGGATGTAGCTCAGTGGTGGTGTGCTTGCTTAGCTTAGCAAGGCCGTGCATCCCCAGCATGGCCAACAAAACAAAATAGCAGCACCGTGAAGCGCAGGCCCAGGGGGAGCCAGGCTGGTTGATTTGAGGCAAGGCTATGGTCAGGATCTCCCCTCAGACTCTCTTCTTGCTTTTGTCCCTACAGGTCTAACTGGCTGAAGCCGTGCTGTGGGAAGAGAGCAGCCGTGTGGCAGGTATTTTTGCTCAGTGCAAGTCTCAACAGTTTCCTGGTAGCCTGTGTAATATTGGTGGTGATTCTCCTGACCCTGGAACTTCTAATAGATATAAAGCTTCTCCAGTGTGAGTAGCAAGAGAGATACATATGCAAATACATATGTCAATATTCACCGTGCATCTGCATCCCTCAGGGGTCCCCAACCTACAGATGATCCCCCAGCCTGTGCCTATGCCAAGCTGCTGGCCCCACAACAGCCCCTGGGGATTTCCCCTGGGGAGGGAACACATTTGGCAGCTTCCCTGTGACCATCTACATCACTTTGTCCTCTTCTGCCCAATGTGGCCTCTTCAGTCCCCTCCCTAGCATTCCACCATCAGAAACTGATGAGACAAAAACAAAAGTTGGGGACCCCTGTGTGCATCCTTTTCTTTTCTTTTCTTTTCTTTTCTTTTCTTTTCTTTTTTTATTGTTCTCATTTGGAATTTTCCAGGGTGACTTTTTTTTTCTGGCTTAAACAGTTCTGTTTTGGGAAGTCGATCACCTGTAGTAACTAGACAGCAGCCGCAGTGCTGGTGCGTGGCAGCCTGAAGTGGGCCATACCATTCACATTTGTCCGGATAGCTTTGAAAAGCCTTTTCCCACCTATGCCTTCAACCCTGCCAGCAACCATGTGGTGCACAGGACCCCATTTTGCAGACAAGCAGACAAAGTAAATGTTGTGGGAATTGGAGACTCACCCTAGGTCAGAAGAACAGAGCAGGAGACGCCAAGCCTCCAGGCTCTTGGTTGTTTGCCCATTCTCCTTCCTTGGGCGATTCTTCCCAGCCTCATGATGGCAGCAGTTTGATGCCCGTGGCACCAGGAGGCTCGGCTTCTTCTGATGCACTGTGGCAACATGGCTGTCAGAGTGGAGGCCCGCTTTCTGTCTCCACCCTTGGAAACCCCTGTTTGGTGCACCAAAGGGCCAGAGGCCTACATGACTGGCCCTTGCCCGTAGATGAGCAAATACCTTATGGAAAAGTCTCCATACACCATTCCTGATCCTGGAGGTAGACCGTTCAAGTACAAATACTTTAAAAGTGGAATTACAGAGAGAGCTTTCGTTTTCCACCATTGATACAATCCAAGCCAAGAGGTTCAGCCACCCCAAACCCATTTTGTTCTCCTGTTTTCTCAAATGCCCCAAATCCTTTACTGGATCTGCTCTGCTCAGGGGTTGTCCAGCTCCCTCCAAGACACACCAGCCTTGTCTGCTGTCTGGGAGAGCACTGAATTGCTTTTGTCTGATAAGCCTAGTTGGGTTTTATGTAGCTGGTGGCCCCTTGGTTCCAATTAAAGTATCTCCTGGCATTAAGTGCCCAGTACTGGTTTTACACTCAGCCTGTCTTCAATTAAACCATGCTGTAGGCTTTCCCTCCTCAGAACCAGACTGTCTGTGTTTTATGAGACCTGACCATAACGGAGCCCTTCTTTTCCTATGGTGGGCTATACTGGAGCCCTGGGCTTCTCAGGTTGTGATGAGGCATCGGGTAGAACTGAGAACCCAGCCGACACTGGAATTTTGCTTAAAATTAAGTATCCAGGAGATTGATTTTGGTGGGAGATCCAATAGCAGCTCATAAAAGGCATCTTAAATTCCATAAAACGCACAATCCAAGATTTATTGCTCTTCTAAAGCAAACCGTAAAAAAGGCACAGGAATTCATTTGAGAAATAATGGGGAGAGATTTTATGTTTCCAGAATCATCTAAGGTCTTCAGAGTCACACAGGACTCAGCCTCTTGGTTCCCACTGGTATTCACATGGCTCAGAATGAGGAGGAATTCCTGGTGTCTCCAGGGTTCATCCTTTGGGGGTCATACTGGCCCTGAGCCAGAGGACCCTTGTGTCTCCTTCCTGGAACCCAGTATTGCAACCTTCCTCTTGGATTTGCTTGAAGACCTCATGTCTACCCACTCCAGGGTTCATAGACTCCAGAACACAGGGAAAGCCAGCCCTACTAAAAGAAGATGTCTTTGTTTTAGCCCAGAGGAACTTGAACAGCTTGAACAGGCCCTCTAGGGAGTCAACATGGCCTGGTTGCCACAGCACCCCTACCTCTTGCCCCCAAAGATCCCACAATTCATCCAGAGGTTTCCCTGTGGGTACCATTTCTACCAAGGTCACCCCACCATTGTCCTGGACTCCAGCACCTTGCTTCTAGCCTCACTAGCACATAAACTGTGTTAGGAGGCTGTTTGAGTTGTCCTGTCACTTAGAGTAACTAGCAAGCTAAAGACAGAGTAGGGAGTCAGCAGTGCCAGCCGCGCCCTCGTAAACCTGGAAGGTACTTTTGTCTGCCAGCTCTGCTGCCTTCACCTATCATCAGCTCACCCTGCCGGGCATGGCTCCAGCCATCCTTCCAAAGCATGCTGCTGTCACCACTATCCCCACTACTGCAACTCAGAACGGAAGGGCAGAGGGGCTTACCCGGGGCCTCCCCACAAAGTGCGCTGAGCTGTGGGGATAGTGTGTGGTGGATCTGGAAGCTGCCCACTCAGGTCCACAACCCTGCTGTGGTCATGACTCCTCCTTCCCTGGGTCTTGTATAACACAAAGGACAATAGCAGTGAGCAGGAGGGGTCGATGGAAACGAGTGGAGATGAGCATTTGGGGAGACAAGCATTCGGGTCACAATGCTCCCACTACCTCCACATAACCATTGGTTATAGCTTCTCTCGCTCTCTGATCCAGTTTCTAACAGATCCAAAGGTTTCTAAAAGCACCCAGGGGTCCCCAGAAGTCTGTCTCCATGTCACAAAGCCCCCTAGACTGATGGACTCAATTCTGTGCTCCTCAATCTGACTTCACTGTGTTCATTGCAGTTTCCAGTGCTTTCCAGTTTGCCGGTGTCATTCACTGGATCAGTCTGGTCATTCTCTCTGTGTTCTTCTCAGAGGTAGGTAAATATTCAGGCCTTGACATCTCCTCTTTGTGGTTACTCATTCCCTGGAAACCTGGGTTTTATTTTACTATATATTTTCTAGTGTCAGGCCTTGGCTATCCCTGAGGCTAAATTTCACCATAGGGTACAACACAAGGAATGTTCACAGACAGACATGCAGGACAGTGGCCAACCCCACCAGAGAGATTTGTCTCTAAGCAGATGACCCCTGCTCAGAATCCAGAACATGTGCAGGGGTTTCCAGGAAATGTCCGAGGAATGGATTTGTGAAAGTGAGACAGTGCATGGCACAGCTGAAGGGCAAAAGTTGTTGTGTGGCCAATCATGAGTACACAGGAGGCAAGGCCCAAGAAAAACACATGCAGATGCAATTAGGATTTGCTTGTCTCAGGGCCAAGGCAGTGGACTTGACCAGGTCCTATAGAAGGATGGAGTCTCACTGGCAGGTGTCCCTGGGACACAGAGGACTGTGCTTCTGAAACACGGCCTCCATCAAATGTTTCCTGATACTGCTGGAGTTGATGGCTAAAATCCATGTCTGAAAAGCTAACTGGAGTCTCCTAGCCCCTGGATTTAGTGTGGGAGTAGACCAGGCCCACATGGCTACTGGGTCATTTGACAAACCCTGATACCAGGGCATGCCTTGATTTTTACATGGGGAGTGACAGCTCTTGGGTAGGCCCCATGCCATCATTGATACTGTGGCCTGTGCTTGTTTCAGACTTCCTCCTGGAAGGATAAGAAGGGCAGAGAGTTTTTTATGGAACCATTTCTTCCAAATAGAGCCAAGGACTGACTAGGTCAGCTAAGACACTGTCCACTCTACCTGGGTGTTCCCACCTTCCACCACCGGTACACATCTGCCCACAAAGAGCCCCATAGCATCTTTCATTGAAAGATAAACACAAAACAGAGCCTGCTGGGAACACACCAGCACGGGTACACACGCAGCTGCTAGTACACAGGAGGCAGAGAGCACAGCACAGTCTCAGGGAGGTGGAGGACCCAGAGAAGAGAAAGGCTATGAAATGAGAGATTTATGTTACAGTCAGTGTTCCCAAGAGGCCAGAATCCTAGGGCCTTCTCTGTCTTAGCCAGTAGCTCTGCTGTCTCCCTAAAATTCAAAGGTGGTCTAGGCCTTAGCCGTCTATTTAGAACGCTGAGTCTGGGTGGGACTGCACAGTGTAGCAGACATTCCAAGCACAAAACACTGTCTTCCCTGGGCCCTAACTCCTGTAGCTCACAGAACTGGCCAGGAAGCTTCCTAACCAGCCTACTGAGGCCACTGGTGGTGCTCAGGTACTTGGAAGAGGCTGATCAGTAGCTTAGGATCCCCATAGGGTCTAGCCCTGCCTGACCCCTCATCTCTACTTGCTAGGATTCCCTCCTGCAAATCCCTGGGCCAGGGCCAGATGTCTCCTTGATGCAAACCTTGGAAAATGTGCCCATGCCTGTGACTGCCAACAAAAATGTTTAATCAGTTGCTGTGGTTCTTCCCTCTAGCCCTCTGCTTTGGTTTTATTGGCTTTTGCAGAATTTATTGCCCAGCGTTAATTTGGCATTCCCTTCCTGTCACTGCCAGAGACAAACCACCTGAAACAGACAAGCTCCTGTGTGCAGGAATAGAAACCTCAGAGGCCTGATGGCCAACCCCCACAAACTGGGAAAGGGGTTGAGGTTTCCCACAGACTCAGCTTTCTCTGCAGAGCCTGTGGGGATGGGGAGAAGGGCTAGTCCCTTGCCTTGGACCTTGTCTTTGGTGAGAGGATGGAATGGAGCTAGTCTATCAACACAGCAGAGAAAACTCTCCCTATAGTCTGCCCAGCATGAATGAGAGGTTGTGTACAATGATCTCCTGTTGAGGCTCCCTGGCAACAAGGGTGGGCTTCTGTAGACCCACAGAGCATGAAAACCAAGCACCAAATCTTGGTGCCAGCAAGCTGTCACATGTCCCCACGGCAGAGCGTGCCACTTGTGCCCTTGCAATAGCTGGGGTACCTCTAACAGAAAGCCAGAGAGCCCAGTGTCCCTCCATAGTTTTTTAGGCCTGCGTGTTTGCCTGCTAGGATGCTAGTGTGGTCTTTATAAAACAACACATAGGGCCAGGATGTAGCTTAATTGGTCACGTAGCATGCACATAACCAGCACTCCACAAGCCTGGTGTGGTAGTGAATGCCTATAATCCCAGCACTCAGGAGGCAGAGGCAAAACAAACAGTTCAGAGTAATCTGCTACAAAGAAAGTTCAAGGAACAGCCTGGGATCCATGAAACCTTATCTAAAAATTACACACATACACGCTGACGTGCATGCACACACGCACTTGCTTCTACACACACACGCATACTAACTATATAAATGAGAAGGGCAGTCTGAGGTTATGATAGTAATGGTCAAAACTGGACCCAGCTCTCTGGGTGTCTAACCTGTCTCATCACTGCCCTCTAGGGGCCTGGCATTGGCAGGTTAAGAAGAAACCAGAAATCTGGGGAGAGATCAGGGCCAAGGCACTGAGTAAAAAGGTCACATCAAGCAAGGCCTCTGAGCATAAACCAGGGGTGACCAGCCCTCTCTTTCATCTGGGGTGGGGATGGAAATGTCCTCCTTCAGTTCTGGCCCTTCCTCTCTGGAACATACCCAGGGGCGCAGCTGAGAGCCAGGGGTCTCTTGAGAAGCCATGGCCTGCCTTCTCCGGCTAGCAAGGGGGCTGTGTTACTCAGGCAAGTCCCACACAGGTGAGCTGCCAAGGGCTGCTGCTGCTGCCCCAGGGCCCTTTGGCTGTTTCTAAGTATTGCTCCACCCCTAGTTTCAACCAAACCCTAGAGAAAGATGACAGGCCGTGTCACAAGTTGGAAAACAGACCCAGAGAGGTGGAGAAAACTGTCCAAAGTCCACAGGGACAAGTCAGACACAGGCCTCTGGTGGGTGAGCTGCCCATCCACTGCCCCAAACAGCCCAGAGTTCAGAGGCTGTACCAGGAAGATGGGCCACTTTGTCCTGGGCAGGCCTCAGAGGATAGAGCTAAGACCAAGAGTGAGAGTCTGCCTTGGGCTCAGTTCACGGACATCTGTTCAAATAGGCCACTCTACTGAACAGTGTGTTGGACCTTCTTATAGAGCAGGGTGCCCTTAGGCAGGCTAGGGGACAGTCCCAGTAGGGGCCTAAGGGGAGTGTGTGTCCATGCAGCTTCCTGGGCCCTGGGGTGCTTGGTCACCTCGTGACCTTGTACACCAAGAAGGAGCAGAGTCTTTGGAATCAGAGTGAGAATTATGCAAATGGGGTTCCCTAAGCACAGCCTGCCCTTGGCTCAGAGTAGGCCTAGCTGGCCACTTGGAAGCAGAGAGACCACTGCTCCTCTTCCTGAGGTTGCTAAGGCTCTGGGGACGACCTGAGATCCTGCCCAGGAAGTAGAGACACAGCAGGCATGTAGACAAGAGCTGGGGGTAATGGCTATGCAGTGGCAGCCTCAGCTGCTTCCTCCTTCCCTTCCTCTTTCTTCCAGTGTGAGCTTGTGTGTGTGTGTGTGTGTGTGTGTGTGTGTGTGTGTGTGGTACTTGTGTATGTGAACACATGTGCACAAATGAATATGGAGGCCAAAGGCCTGTGCTGGATTCCTTCTTCAATCTCTCTCAAACATTTTTTTTTTTTAAAGCAGGGTCCCCTCCTGAACCTGGAACTCACCAATTCAACTAGTCTAGGCTGACTAGTAAAACCCCAGGAGTCCTCTGGGTTCTGTCTCCCCAGTCCTATGAGAATGATACCACACTAGGCTTTTACATGGGTGCTGGGGGTAGCATTTAGTACACACACAATAAGCAGTTGGTACTTTCAGCTACTTCCAAAGCAACTTTACCCCCAAACGAGACCCCACACCCATCACCAGTCATTCCCACGTCCCCTTTACATAGCTCTTGCCAACCCAAATCTCTTTGTCTCTATGAAAGTTTGTATGCTTTATGCTTCCTGTAATCAAGATTATGGCTGTCTGTGTCTGGCTTCTATCACTGAGCATGTTTTCAGGATTGGTCCATGCTGTGGCGTGAGTCAGGCCTCTATTCCTTTTCATGTCTGAGTAATATTCCATTGTGTGGGTGGAGCACATCCATCACCAGTTGGGCCAAGCATCTTTTATAAAATTTACATTTTTATTATGGAGAGGGAGGACAGGGACTGTGTGCCTCTGAGTCAGTTCTCCCCGATACGTGGGTGTTGGGGGCACAAACTGAGGTTGTCAGGCGTGTGGAAAGGGCCTTTAGCTGCTAGCTATTTTACCAGGCCCAGCCAGGAGTCTTTTGATGTCAACTGTAGGAGCTCCTCTCTGACAGTGGCTTCCCTGAGCTGTCCTGGGTCAGCACTGACTCAGGAGGGAAACTGGCCCAAAATGTGGGCTACCTTCCTGACCCTTCCTGAGGTGAGCCCACTGCTCAGACTAGGGTAGAAACTTTCTTCTCTTTCCCCCTCCATGTTTCACAGTGGTGTGGGAGAATCAGGTTGTAGACCTGCTCCCTCTAGCCATGAGAACTATCGCCCATGCAGAGTGGACAGCATGTCCACAATCTGGAAGGCTCAGCCAGCTGCATCACTGGAGATGCCATGAGCAGCCCTTAGGTCCTGAGCCACATGTTCTCAAGGGCCTGCCTTGATTCTAGAGATTTCTAATTCTGTTCCTCTGCCTCCCTTTATCTCCTGGCTTAGAGCTGAGCACGTAGCCTTGACCACCAAAGGAGTGAATCAATTAAATATGTTTCTGAGAAATCACTCTTCAAAATCTCATTTCCACTTTTTGATTTGCCATGACCTTGACAATGACCTTATAGAGCTGGCAGGTCAGATATGAAGATAATTGTTTTAAGCAAGCTGGACAGTGCCGTTTGCTGCTCACAGCCTAACTCATGATCAGCAGAAGTCTGCAAGGCCATGTAGATGGCCAGCTCACCAGTTTTCTGGACCAGGAATCACAACAGTGCTATGCTTATGCTGTACCAAACAATGGAT